ATATATATATATATATCGTATGTATATGTACGTGTGTGTATATATATATATAGATGGGCGTATGTATGTATGTATGTATGTATGTATGTATGTATGTATAGATATATATATATAGATATATATATATATATATATATATCGAGCACGAGTGCTAAGAACAAGAATGTATGTATGTATGTATGTATGTATGTATGTATGTATGTCTATATGTGTATATATATATATATACATATGAGCTGGTTGGGGTTTACGGATTTTGGCAGCTGCTAATTTTTTCTGTCTTACTAGTCAGCAGGCAGTGAAAGCTCCCTATTGTTTTGGTCGGGAGGGTGACCACCGTATGCCCACCTGTGGTATGCATCTGTGCGGCTGAGAACACCCTGGCTTCATGAGTTGCATGAGGCTGTTTGCATGGCAACAGAATTCAGAAAGCCAGAACTTGTGGACAAGACATCTTGAGGGAGCTGGGTTGAAAGATCCGGAATCCGCAAGGATGCGCTACAATGCCACAGAAAGCTTCTCCAGTCGGGTGTGGCCGCAGCTCAACACTTTGCGCAGTGGCCCCAGTCTTTTCTCCTTAAATCCGCATACTCATGAGAAAAGTCGGCTCGTTGAGCATCTGCTGCTTCCTGCGCTTCTGCAAAGTATGTAGCTGGAGCAGTCGAGTGCCGGACCCCTTGAATCGCCGTCTCAATTCTGCACAGCGTGGCCCTGGCTGCGCAAATGTAGAGCCAGGTATGACACGCGAAATGGAATGTGCCGCATCGTGGCGCCTGGCGTTTGTGCCTCAGTTTACCGAGGGTGCATCGATTGGCTGTTGACCGAACAAGCCTCGCCGACATTTCTGGAGCTAAGCTCTCGATCAGACCGTTCACGCTGAAAAATCCAATCGCGCAGCCCCCTGCTCCTGTTTCCTCACATGTTCAACTCCGGCACTGATGAGGCACAGGAGATGCAGATGCTCGGGTTCATGTCTGGGCCGGGCACCAAGCAGCGAGCTGCAACTGCGCGCGGGAAAGTTGATGCATTACATCCACTGCCAGCGCGTGCTGCCAACATTCTGAGACTGTGTGACTGCAGAGATGCCGTTGTTTTTGTCCACGAGGCCGAAGAGCTGCAAGGAGCTGCGGGAACTTGCAAAACTTACGTCTGATGACCCTCCGCTCCACGAACTCAGAACGATAGTGACAGGCCCTAGGCCCCGCAGCAGCCAGTTGCCATAGCTCAGATCTTTGCTGCGCTCAGGAGGAATCCAACATGCTGGAGTTTAAGGCTGAAGTGCACCAGGTGGGATTAATTCTCAGGCCCAGCGATTCTCAATCGATGAGTCGACGGCTGACAGGGAAAAGCGGTGGTGACCTCCGTGCCGACCAAACTGGCTGGCAGCTCATGCTGGATGATTCGCATCAGAAGACCTGTCTGATCTGCTCTGCATCGGAGGTCAGGGTTGAATCATGTTAGAGTTGCTCGGGATGATCGGGCGGATTGAGCTTAGTACGCTCGGATCCTCAAACCGAGGGAACGAAGCTTTTCGGGGTCTGAACTGGACACTGCGTCCGGCAACTAGCAAAGGGGCTGAGACCTGCCCACCAGCTCTCATGGACAGGATTTTGTCGACCTACATCAACAGCCCCACTAGATCCTGCTGGAACAGACCAAGAGACAGTGACACCAAATTGTACCAAGACTGCATTGGCCATCGATCGCAACAGTCGCAACATGCTTTTGCCAATGGCAAACCACAGTCGCACGGCCCTGTGGGTCGCGAGGTCGCCGGCCAGATAACCAGCTGACCAGACATCTCGATGCTGTACGTGCTGAGGGGGCACTAGGATAGGAACCGTCAGTTGCTGATTTCCCTGCTCAGATGCGCATTCTGAGCATTCCCACGGCCGCCGCAGCCTTGGATTCAAATCTTCGTAGTGGGGACCAGGTGCTGACCGACAACCGATTCTGGCGATGATTGTCCAGGGTCGGAGTTGCATGTTGCAAGCTCGAGTCGCTGGTCATGTATAAACATGATATTACATCTTTGCTTAAGTTTTTTTCCTTCGGACATCCTTTGGACTCCTCCTTGTTGGCTCCAGGTTCCCGGTTTAGATGCATTTCGCCGCTCCTAACATGAGGTCATGTGCCTCCTTCTCGTGGCAGCTGCTGCTGGGACTTGGCTTCGAATGCGCAGACGCGGACCGCTGAGTGGACAATGCCGGGTTGTGGTCTGAGTGGGAGTGACCGCATGTTGCATGGCCAAGGTGGTGGAAAGCTCCTCGTCTTGTCCCAGGGCAG